GAAAAGCTAAAGGACTGTAATTTTAAGAGGATATTCCCCGTTCACCTAAATCTCACTGAACTCAAACCCAGACTCCGGCTTCACGTGGTACCCAAATGCGGGCCCGCCAGAGTTTTTTTCGGGTAAGTTGCTAATTCAGGAGCCAAGAAAGCTAGAAAGCTTAATTTTTAAGGGGGTGTTTCCTAACACTTCTGACGGCCAGTCTTAATTTGTTTAACTAAGAGCATTTGCCGAAAAAACCGGTGCCGGTTGCGACAAAAACTGCGGAGAACTATGCAAAAAACGCATCTTCGCGCGGGCAGTCCGTGCGTCGGCCAATTATTTTACGTGGCGTATAAAGAAATTTGTTTTTTTGGTGATATCTTTCGGGATTTCCTTTTATTCTTGAGGCGTTGCAATCATGCTTTCTTTGCCCCTTCCTCACATTGTCTCTGATATTTGTAGTATTTCCAAATTGGAGCAAAATCCTGTTTGCATAAGACGAGATTTTTTTCCTTTTTCTACGTCAAGGCGTCGGCAACTTTGAATTCGATTTTGCGCTCTGGTGGGGTTCTGGATTTTTGTTCTGGAGTTTGATTACCACGACAGGCATACAGATAGACAGGCACATACTCACGTTGAGGATTGGCTGAGCTAAAATACATCTCTGTGGCCTTGAAAAAACCGCTTAATTTAGAATTATATGCTGAAATGCATAGTTTTTATGTATCATTCGGACACGCATTAGCATTATCAGCTTAAACTTCAAGTGTCACTTTTTCCTTGCTTTATGTTTTATATAATAATTATTTTTATGCTTCTTTGTTCAGCTAGCAGTGTTGTCTCGTTTCCCGCTTCTTTGGTCGGTATAAAGACATTTAAAAAAAGTGAATAAGACAGCAAAGTAGACATATTTTAATTTATCGTCTTGGTGGTTCTCTTTGTTCGCATAATTCAGTTTATTTTGCTTAAGGATTTTTATAACCCATTGTTTTATTCGCACAGTTGCATCTGGGGGAATTTCGTAGGCAAAATATTTCCCGCATTTTTTTTTGACTTATTTTCTTCGTTTCCATGGTTCAATAACTGAATATTTTCATGTCTCTTTAAACGAATAACAGGATGATCTTCAGCACTGTGGGCCGATCCAAAAATTTGAATTTCTGGAGTTAGCACAAGATCGTAGTCGGAGGAAAAGTAATCCACTGCACAGATCTAAATCCAGCCTACAAATCAGCCTATTTTCCATATATGGATTTTATTTGCTTTGATGCACTGACTAGTTGCTTATAATTCCTTCTGTTTCTTCATTCCATCGATGCTGCTGGCAGCGTTCCCATTTTTAATTTGGTCTTTCATTCTTCAAACTCTGTCGAGGCGTTGAATTTCTTGAATTTTCTTGATATTCGTCTAAAGGTCTGTGGATCTACTCAATACATCCGCTGATACATCGCTTTGTTCATCTTTTTCTCTAGTAACTGTCATATAGCCATCCCAGCTCAATAAAGTTATATAATACCAGTAAAAAAAAA